CAAATTACGAAAATTCAAACTTGAGCCAAACAGGAAACCACGCGATTGCAAATGCAAGGTCGAACCATTGCTGAAGCTTCTGCCTGCAGCTCAAAGTTCAAAATTGACCTTTAAAAAACTGAGAGAACCGGTCTGTAGCCGCAGCAGGCATCAAGCTTTTTCGAGCCTGGAGAGCTGTGAAGAGTCGCACAGCCATACTCATAGTTAGCATGAAAGCCGGCACTGCTGGGCAGTGCGCCCGTGAAGGGCAATGACTTGAACTCACTTCTTGACCTTGAGCGTTTCCAAGATCTTGCTCATGCGATCCACTGCCTTTCCACTTGCCTTGGCTGCTTCCAAGGCGTCCTCATAAGCAGCGACCCCAGTAGCGCCTGTCGTGAAGACGCTCTTGCGGAAGCCGTACAAAAAGGGGTGGTTGCCAGCGATCTCCACAGCGACCCAGCCCATCGGGATGAACAGGATCTCTTTGGCCTTCAAGGTGTGCTGCCGCACCACAGTGTCCTCACAAAGTTGTTTCACTTGTTCTTCTGTGAGGCACTTGAGCTGGCCCAACAGATCTTCCCGTGAAGACTTGCGCTCACCTGACTTGTCCTTTTCAATCTTCTCCAAGAATTTCTTCACACCCGCCCACTCCAGCAAGATATGCTGAACCTCTCCCACAGCAAGCACCTTCAGCAAGCCTGCTCCGTTGGGGTTGAAGCCCACGCTTTTCAAGTCTGCGCTGCATCCAAAAAGCCAAGCTGCGTCCATGAAGCTTTGTCCACCTGCAACAGATGAGATATCCGGCCTGAAGGTGGAGGGAAGCACGCTCTCGAACAAGGTGTTCACTTGTGTGGAACCGGTCTTCTCCTCCAGCGGGAACGTCACAACGTCAAGCTTGAGGTTGGCCAAGCTGCGCTTGTATTGCCCACCCCAATTCGCAAGGGTCTTGGACATCGGGTTGCTGCCCATGTTCAACTCAACCTCCTCGCCCCCTGTCTTGAACCAAGGAAAGTCAGCGCCCCACTCAGCCATGACTGCTGCAGGATCCTTGATTTCCTGCACCTCTTTTGCTTTGGTTGCATCCAAAGAGGTTGTGAAAAGCGGCGGACATTGGGAATCCTGGCTGAGTCTTCTTTTCTTGATTGCATCCGCTGCAGCCTTTGCCTCTGCGCGCACTTTCTGCAACTGGTCCTTTGCCTCTTGCTCTTGTTTCCTTTTCTGCTCCCGCTTCTCCTCTGACACCTTCACCTTAAGGCGCTTTGCCAAATCATCTGCCGATTGCTTGATGCCCTTCACAACCTGAGCGCAAGCCTTCTCACACTTCTGCCATTTGTCTTTCAGCCGGAGGAAAGGAGCCGGCTCTTTGCAATCCAAGATCTCTTCTTTCAACTGCACACTATCGTCCAAGCAGAAAATGACCCCCAAATCGCCTTCCCAGAACTTGTGCGTCTTGGTTCTGGGCTCTTCCAAGAACTGCTCAAAAGAAACTGCCCTCCTCGCTTCAATATCGGTGTTAGGAACAGGGATTCCCGTCAACACGGGAGCTGTGGAAACTCCTGCGTCAGTCTTGTCCTCATGACCATCCTGCTCCTTCGACAAGGCACCGTCACACGATGCATCAGGCACAAGCAAGAAGAGCTCGGACATGTCACCCAACAAGCGCCGTCCTGCTTCTTGCCGAAACTGGAGAGCTCTGCAAAAACAAGGCCCGGTCACCCGACTTTAGGTGGTTTGGATGTTCACGGTAGGCATCCCTGGAAACTGCTGCCACTGTCAAAGCTTTCTTGAGATCAGCCTTCAACCGCTGGACCTGACTGTCAACTTGTCGGTGGAGCACAGGTCCTTCGCGACTCAAATTGATCGGCTTCTGCCGCGCCTCCTCGGAATCACGTGGGCTTCCCAGCGGGGACTCCTGTGGAGACTTTGACGGAGTAGCAAGAGACACTGGCTGCATCCTCCCCTTAACATCCCACCGCTCATGCTCGGTCATCTGGAAGTGCTCATCTTGGAAACTCACATCTTGGCGTCTCAGATGGTCCTGGTCAGGGATATTCAAGACGTGGCCGCAAAGAAACCAACATGGAAAGCCAAGTCGCCTTGAAAAAACAAAGGAAGATTACAGTTGAAACTTAAAAGCTGAACCATCAAAGACCGTCACAGTCAAATACATCACTGGCTAGAATCGGCTAGAACATTCAAAACGGAGTACAAATGCTTTGGATAATGCCAATGCAAGATTGCAAAATTAATGGACATATGCAAAATGTAAATGCCCCACTTTTCTGTTGGAGTGATTGGAATCGGAATCAATCAACCCCCCTCCCCCCAAAGTTCTCCTGCAACATCCTGCGATCTTCCATTGGAGGAGCCCTGATGTTGTCGGAGCCCTCCACTGCCCGACTGTCACTGTAGTGCTCCCTGTCTTTGGACTTGAGCTCATGCGCTGGGATCCACAAACGCTCTGCCCCTCGAAAGCCGTTGTTGTCTCGCTCAACAGAGCGATCCTGCTGGTATTCTTCCCAAAGCTCTGACGCCTCCTTCTCATCCAAACCAAGGACATTTTCAGCGTGCTTGTAAAAGGCTTTCTCTGTCATAGGCACGTCTCCAGCAGAAGTTCTGCTAGCGATCCTTTGCCCACGAACACGCTCAAACCTGGCGAAGTCCACAAGTCCCTTCTTGCGCATCTCAGGAGGGTTGTCCCTGGCAAAGGCCAAGACAGCGCGACCAGCCTGACCGTCATCGCGCATGCTCTCGTCATAAGCCTTCTTTGCCTCTTCCGAAATATCTTTCCTGCTTCTTCTCTGGTACATCATATTGTCATAAGCCTTCTTGTGGTCCCCCACTGAACAGAACCGGCTGCCCGGATATTTCGGAAAAGGGCACATCGGGCATATGCAGCTTGTGGTAGGCCCATGACGAGTCTTGGCATTCGCCTTTGCAGCAGCCTTCTTCTTTGGTTTAGCTTTGCCTTTTGGCTTGGGTTGAGCTTGGAAATTCTCATCTTCAAGCTCCATGGCAGCAGGCTCTGCCTTCTCTTCTGCTGCTGCTTCTTCTTTCTGGTCCTCGGCAGCAGCAGCGCTGGCCATGGCACTTTCGAAGCCCTGCAGCCCTCTAAGCCCACCCACGCTCACAGCTCCTGTGAGCTGCTTGGTCGCTCTTGGATAGGAATCAGCCGGAGCGCAAACAACTGAAACTCAAATTGGGCAACGTCTACTATGCAAGAGAGAAAAAACAGAACACACCTGAACATTCCGCCATCCTTTCAAAGCATCCAAACACACACCCACACTCACAATTCAGGCAAACAAACACTGGTACATGCATGACGTGGCCAACACTTTTCAGCCAGAAGATCTGGCAAACTGGCAAAGCATCAGTGCTTCTTGTCCCCCTGTACTTCTCATAAACACGAAGCTAGTCGGCATCACAAGCAACAGTTACTCGCAGCAAACTTTGAAAACATCAAGCTTGCATTGAAGGCTTGAGCTATCAAAGCTACTGCGCAGAAAGAAAACGAGTCACGCCAGCTTCACTTCAAAGCCGGCCCTTCAACCTTCTAGCTTCGACAACCCCAAAACAGGAAAAGGAGCCAGGAATCATGAGCCCCAGTGGCTGGAGCTCGTGTTTGAGTCGTCCGAATTACCATCTTCATCCTCACCAGCACCATTCGCAGCGTTGGCCACGCCCTCCTTCTGCGCATCATGGGTCTCATCCAAGTAAATGGGCGGTGGCGGAGGAGGCACAGCACAATGCTTGGGTGGATTGGTGTGCCATGCCATCGCATGCTCCCTGGCACGGGCCCAAGTCAAACTGATATCAGCCTTGCCTGTGAACTTGAAACGACAAGATGCGAAGCCTTTCACTGCCGACATGAAGCCTCGCAAGTTGATGATGACTGCAGATGTCTCAACCTTCACCTTGTATTGGTGAGCCCCCGTTGGCGGTGCATCTGGTAGAGCAGCTTCCGGGAGACTCTCCAACAAAGGATAATACTTCACCAGGAGTTTCCCGTACCGAGCAATGGTCTCAGTCTCAGCCACATCACTATTGTCTTCACGAGCCCGTTTCTTGCCTTTGCTCTTGGAATCCACCAACTCCTGCAAAAGACCACTCGAAAATGCACAAGGGTTCACTTAAATTAACTGAGCGCTGGCCCTTAAGTGTGGACCCCTTTGTGTTCTCCTAAGCTGGGATGGAGACCATCCACAAAAAAATTGAAACAAGCCATCGGTTTGCTGTCTGTCTGGAAACAAGCCGGAAGCTTCCTGCGTGCCAACTATGCTATGCTTGTTGGGGGCAAGATGCAAAAGAGTGAAAAGCAACAACACAACCGCACGACCGGTTACTGGTTCAACTGAAGCATAGTTAACCGGTGGTTTGTGTTCGAGCGCATGTCTTCTGATTTCGCACATCAGCGGAGAGAAGCACCAGAAACCAACAAGTGACAAGTGGCCCAACTAGACTAGCCGCTAGCCTTTTGTAAGATCAAATACGCGAAGTTTTTACCTGGCTAGCTAGCTTATATAGCCAGGTTAAAGCTCCGTCGCGCAATGCCCGGGCCACTTCTCAAAGGAGTGTTTCCGATAGCTTCCAGAAGCCTCCACCTAGTTTTTGGCAGTTGAAAAAACTTGAACCCTTGTCCTTCACAAGCTCACCCTGACCCTCACCAGGCACAGGCAGAGGCTGGTCTTCACTAGATCCGGAGCCAGCGCAAGCCATTGCAAAGCTCCAAGAGTAAGAAACTAAACACAGAGCGGGCCGAGGTTTTTCCCTTGATGTTCAACAGTCCAAGCGCAAAGCAAGCGCGTTCAATAGATTGCAAAACAAATACCGAGTATCAGGCGCCATGTCTCAAGGCTACGCTTCCAAAATGAAAGAAAGAAGTGCATCTATTACAATCGACTTTCACGTGGTCACAGCACATCCCTAACAGAATGGAGCCTGGAACGCACACACCCTTGTTGCCCACACTGCGCCAAGTTCCATCAGCTAGGAAATTAAGAAGAGCCTAGCTTCGCTCATTCATCAGCGAGCCACTGAAGAGCATTGATCTTCTTCTCCTCTTTCTGTTGCAGTTCTACTTTGATTGGGCGCTCTACCTTACACACTTCTCTTCTTTCCAAATTGAGGTACCAAGCCAAAAGGCAAGGGAGCGACTGGCAGTTTCCGGTCAATGACTTCACACACCGGTCACTGCGGCTGAGTACATAGTCGGCCAATGGCCACCTGAACTTTTTGGACACTTTGTCGGACACATGGAATCCGAGGGCCAAGAACCTATCTCTGGGCATTGCGATCTTCTTAGTGTTCAAGTTGACTATTGTACCATGCCTGAGCAGCACCGGAAAGAAGGACCCGTAGTCTGGCCCTGGAGAATGCGGCCAATGATCCAGGTCGCATATGAAAGTTCCATCAAGTCCAGCATGGTCAGGAGCCAACTGTCTGTAAGCTGCAAGGCGTTGCAATTGCCCTGGAGTGAAGATCTTGCGCCACATCCGCTCTCCGCTCAACTTGGCCCCAAAGTGTGATTTTTCCAAAAGCTTCTGGTCAACCCACTCCTGCACCACAGCCTCGTCCTCTTGGAAGAAAACATCCCCTGACAGGAGGCAACTTCTTTGAAAGAAATAGTTGAACTCTCTCTCAACCTTCTGAGGGTCAGTGGGCCCGACCCAAACCAAAGTCCTCAAAGAAATGCCTGCAGACAAAACTCGATCCCGCGAAGTTGGCCATCCCAGCTCAGAAGGACCAACCACCAAAGAAATGACTTGGTGGCTGCTGCTCAAAGGGCCGGCCAGGCATGACTCAACATCAAAGTGTCTTGTGCACTCTTGAAAAAACAAATCCTCTTGGCCATCCAAGGCAAGCTGCTTGCGTTGACAAAGCCACACGGCAAGCGGGTATTGGCTCTTGTGGGCTTTGCGGGCCCGCTTTCCTTCTGAGCTCCAACCCTGGCAGCAATTGCCAGCATTGTTGATGACTAAGGCACCCAGCTTTTCACGAGGCTTGTTCACAACGCAATACTGCTGATGGGCTTCACACCACGCAGTTTGGTCCTGGAAGAGTTGCACAAAGAGAAAGTTCAAGCGTGGCTCCATATCTGATTTGATTTCGAAGCAAGCTTTGTCCAGAGGGGCCGATTCTGTAGAAGAGCTTTTTGACTACCCATCAGAGTTGGTGAGGACTCTGTTAGAAGAAGTTAGTGAGTTTGAGGAGATCTTCGAGTCACTTCTTGGCAGAGGTGTTGTTGAGCACAGCGACTACAGCGGGGTCTTTGCTGAGCGGGAAGCAAAGAGGCAAACATCCAAATTAAATTGCTGCTAAATTTAGCAGTAACTTCTACCGTGATTTGGCTCTCGAACAAAATCACAAACGCACCGTCCGACTTGGACATGAGCTTTCCACGTGTACACCCAGCACCCTGTCCTGACTGACCGCCCAATGGGAATTGTTCAACAGATAGGCAAGAATTTGCTCATGGCTCTGCTCATAGTCCGTGTTTGTAGCAGTGTCAGGGTTTGGCAAAAGGCCTTCACAAAAGCTCCGAGCAGCAGGGTGAATCTGATCAACAATGTCCACAAAAACACATGATTGCCTTGCATCGAGCCGCTTTGAAGCCTCCACCAAGACAGCTTGACAAGCAGGATCTATGCCACACGTCTTCGTGATCTTGTGGTCTACGTTCCAGCCATACTCGTCTCTGAAGACCTGAAACAATAGCCACTGCAGTAAGCGAGTATGATCATCCCATGTCCCGGCAACTGAAATGTTCTCCCCAATGCCTTGCAATCACACATCACAAGGTGTGACCATGAGGTGTTTAACGCAAGGAAGTAGAGAACTGGACAAATTGAAATGCGTTGGTTCCCCCACTGACCCAGCTGCTTCATCTGACTGGATGCAATTGTTGTGAGCCAGTTTGTACCTTAGTGTGGCCATTGTATGGTTTATGAATCTGAAACGCAAAAGAACCCCCAAGTAGCTGATGCTGCATGTCCAATTACAAACCTCTCTGCTGAGTTTATCAAGATGAATTGTTAATCAATCACAATGACACAAGCTAAACTGCAGCCAAGAAACAGCTATCGGACAGGTCTCACGGTCTCACTGGTTTAATCGACATTCGGAAACATATCCAGTGAACCAGTGGCCTAAGAGAGGGCCTTGAAAAAGAAATAGCAACAGCAAACATCAGATCTTGCTACACATGACAGTGAATTACATACTCTCACTGGCATTGAATGCAAAGTTGGCTTCCAGAGCTGCCAAACCTACAAGAACGCAACAGAAGACACTAAGATTACAAAATCAGCTTGCAGCGTCCAATTCAAGGAAATTTGGCAGCAACATCACCAAATCAAGAAAATTGTGCTCCGCAGAGAGAAAACTGAGGAAACACAGACGCGCCCAGGCTTCCAAGCCTTGAAAAACACACTGCACGGAAACGAACGAAAGTGAACGAAAGTGAACGAAAAGTCAGTTTTGCTCTTCCAACAACATCTTCGCTCAGCCTCCCAAAACCTTCAAAAACACACCGATCTCTCCCAAAATCTTTCAAAATCATCTCAAAAAGTCCTTAAAACCAGCAATTTGGACAGTGAAAAGCTGAGAAAAACATCTCAGGTGTTCGAGGCAGAAGGTGATCGCACGAAATGCACGAAAGCGCACGAAAGTGAACGAAAACGAACGAAAACCACAAGCCAAAAACCTTCAAATTTCTTAAAAACCCTCTCCGACAAAGGGTTTTGCTCTACGGGCTCACCCCCACAGGGCCCACAGGCCAAAATTTGCAAAAACTCAAGAAAATCACCTTACAAGAGAACTCCGCGAAAAAGAGCCGTCAGGACCTGCGCAGCCGCGCAGATCACCGCAGAATTGCCTAAATTCCCCTAAGTTCAAAGTCCTGGTTTCCAACCTTTGGGCATACATGTTTCTGGCTACAGGCACAACACTGCAAGCAAAATCCACATCCGTGACAGATATTTGACAAATGATCAAGTGACAAGCACAATTATGCAGCATATCATTCTTGCATTGGCAAGTCTTGCTGGGCGCAAACAAAAAGACAAAAAAACTGCAATGAAAGCTGGAAAGCAATCTTCTCTCTCTTCTGTAGTTTTTCAACCTGCGAAGCAGCATTCACACTTCTCCCTAATCCAACCCTTGAGTGAATCTCTCAAAAGTGAAAACACTTCAGCGCATGAAGCTCCTCAATCTCCGCATGATGAAGAAAGATCTTCTTCCCGTGGTAGAGCTTTGGCCTTGAAAGCTGGTTCGACCGTTGACGTCCAAAGCTCGAGGTGTTCGTCTGGAGTGCTGCACTGTGACCCAAGCGAAGCCCAATACTTCAAGCACAGAAGAACTTGTTGCTCACCTCCGAAATTCACTGATCTCTTCTTGGTGCAATGATGGTCAACGTTGTGGGAAGCAAAGCCGCATTTAATCTGAAAATGCCGAGGCGCTTCTCCAAGTGGCCCAACTGGAGTGATCAAATGACCTCCCCAAGCAAAGGACCTATCTCGTGTCTTGGGTTTCAGAGCAGCTTTTGAAGCAGCTTTTGGTGCTGGCGCGTCGGCCCCTTTGTCCGGTATAGCGGCTGAAGGAGCCGCAGGCTTTGAAGAAGCAGAAGGTTTTTTCGCTAGAGGATTCGCTTGAGGATGAAGAGCTCGAAGATGAAGATGACGAGCTGGACGCAGACGCTGACTTTGGCTCAGGTCGGCTGGGAGCAGCAGCCACCTCTGACTCAACAGCGGGGTTGCTTTTTGGGGAAACTGCCTCCCGTGCGTCGTCCATACAATCGGTAATCTCTTCTTCACCTGAACTGCTCAAGCCAGATGGAGAGCTCAACTCCACAGCAAGGTCATCACCTTCACCTTCACCCTCACAACTATCAGCGGCCTTCTCCTCCAAGCAAAGTTCTTTGTCTTTGGAACTTGAAGCAGCAGTTGCTTTCTTCTTTCTTGTGGCTGCTCGCTTTTTTGGTTCTGGCCAATTGTCATCTGAGACATGCAAAAACGCTCTTTTCATGCCCCTGCCTTCAAATGTTTTCTTGTCAGACTCCATGCCTAGCAGAGCCTTGTAAGCGGCGTCCGGAACACCATATGGCACCTCAGTGATGTCCTTTCCAGCAATCACACCCACCAAATAGGCCAAAGCCAGCAGGTAGTAGCGGCTTACAGACACCGTCCCTTCAACAGTGAACCACATCTTTTCACTACCGCCTCTCTCGTGAGCATGTTTCTCTTTCTTGAGCAGTTTGTGCTTCTTGTTGGTGATCACAGCATGGTACCAGCCAGATTTCTCAAGAGCAACCACAAGCTGATAAGCAGTGGCCTCTTCATGTAGTGGCTCACCTGGCCTCCACCGCTGCAAGAAAGGCTTCTCATTAGTCAACACACAGCACTGCAGCAAACGGGCATGTCCAGAATCTGTCAATATCCATGGTGGCCCCTGACAAGAACCCGCTTGCGTGCAAAAGGTCCAAAGCATTGATGTGGTCTTGACTCAGGTCTGGCCTCACGACCAAGCCCGTTGGAGAGCGCAGCAGAAGCTCAACAACGGTGTGCACAGAAGCCTGATCAACCCTGGGAACTTGAGCCATGAACTGGTTGTCAAACCGGCGCACCACATCGCCTGCATCCCACGTACGCAAGCTGCGTAGTTCAGTCAATGTAAGTTGGCGTGGCTGCAAAACAAAAGGCGCATGCTGGCAGAACCCATCCCCCAAAGTTACAGGGCTCAAAGAAGCAAGAACCTGCTTGCCACCCACATCCACATGGACAATGCTGTGAAGCTGAACCACCCAAGCTCCTGACAAACAAGACTCCCCTTCCACTTGAGTGCGGTGAAAGCGGTTCGGATGCGCATGCAACACCGATGCCACCACAAATTCGTGGGCCAGCCCATCTCCCACACCTTCCAACAAATCAGCCAAAGGAACTGTGAGCCCAAGCTTGTCCGAAAGGCCTGCAACGGCCCGTGGCGTCTGACCTGCTTGCATCTCCCACTCCACAGCGGATTGGGGCTCCAACTCCAAAGCTTGACGCTTGTGGGACAGCATGGACTGCAGAGTTGCCAACGCCCGAACATTCATCTTCATGGTGAAGAAAGTACCCCGGTCAAAATTGGACACTTCTTTCTGCACATCCTGCAAAGCTAGCGCTCGCTTGAGCTCAACGCTTCCATCAGACAAGTCAGGGCTGGCCAGGTCGGAATCTTGCACAGAAACACGCTTCTGTTTCAAACCTCGAGGCAACTCCAAGCTGTATTTGCAATATGGATCATCATGGTAAATGACACTGAAACCTGCCTTCCTCTTTTCGAAGGTCTTTGTTGAGATCCAGCCACATTCCCAAAGCAACTTCTCAGAAAAGCCAAGTTGTCTTGCAGCAGAGCATCCGTTTGACACATCGCCCATAAAATCTGCAAGCTGGCCTGCAACCTCTGGCCGCGTCAGCAAAAGTTCTTTGATCTCGGGCAGACGATGAGCAAGGCTGATATATGGTGCAGAATGATGGTGAGCATGAGTCGAAACCTTCTTTGTTCTAGCATGCTGCCCCTCCACCCGCCATGCTGACGTGAACATCAGCCTCAACTCAAGAGCCAACTCTCTCAAGGGATCCAGCTGGCTGTCATCCCGCCACAACCCACCACCGGCAATGAACTCTGCAACACATCGCCGTGCTTCAGGCCGCTTCAACCACAAAACTTTGGGGTGGCTGCAATTGGAAGCAAGTGCTTTGGTAAGGCAGCGCACTCGCACATTGGGATCCCAATGGCTCAAACCACATAAAACATGTGGGGCTTCCTGCCAGAAGCTCAGTTTCATCACGTAGGTCATGATGAGGTGCTGCCTTGCCAATTGAAAGTCCTTCATGAGTTGGCTAACTTCATCTTGGGACAAGCCTCTTGGCAATTGGAGCTCCAGCAGGGTAGCGCTTGTGTCGAACAGTTCTTGCAACATTGTGAAAAAATCTCCTGAAGCCAGCTCGGCGCACCTACGCCCTCTCAAAGGACAACTGCGACAGAAGTCTTCCATTTCTTTTGTATCCAAATGACAAGTTGCATGGCATGGGCAACCATTCACAAAATCAACAGCCTTGCGTTGGATCTTTGCAATTGGAATCAATGTTTTCAACGAACCCCACCATAAATCAGAGCATAGAGCGTCGTCCACGGCCTTGAGGTTAACGCCAGTCGCATCTGGGCTAGCATTGTCTGAAGGCCTTGGAACTGGCACACTCTGATCACAGCATTCTGCCTCTCCTTTTCCCAGAAAGCGGGACAGGCTCCAATGGTTTCTCAGCGCAGGCTCTAAAGCATCCACCTCTTCAATGCCACAGGCAATGGTGTTCCAGCGTTCTTCATGGACACTGACATTGAAGGCACCTATCTGGTCTTGATATGGGAAAGTCTCAGGGGTATTGAAACACATCTCAATGAGCTGCTGCTTGCTCTCCTTCCCTGACAAAAGGGAGCATACTGGCTTCAAAGCATCAAGCACAAAATTGTACGAAGACACTACATCGCCCAAGTTGTTGGTGGCATTGTGGATGATGTGCATCATGTCAGGCCCTTCAAGGGAACTTTCAAAAGAAACGTTGGTGGACACGGGCTGTGCATCTACAGCAAAAACTTCCACATCGCGACCCGCATTGGAATCGAAAGAACCATCTTCGAACAAATCACCTTTGTCCAAAGTTGCAGCACCGATATTCGCTGCCTCCTCAGGGCAGTGCAAATATGGAAGAAGCGTGTCCAACGGGTAATCTGCTATCCGGGCCAACCCTCTTTCCGTTCCGTAATCGGTGTGAATGCTCACCACGGACTGGCACAATTCGATAAGGGCTTCTCGAAAGGACACCAGCAGCCCTAAGGTTTGCAGAAAGACACGTGCTTTGGCCGCAAGATTAGTTCTGCTGTGCGCAAGCATGCAAACCATCGGAACATGCCAAACAATGGCTTTTCTGATCCTGTCCATCGCATCCCTCTCAAGTCCTAGGTCTGATGCACGGTCTTCCCACGCAAGGCCACTCCGTGTCTCCAGGAGAATAATATCCTGCGCGCAGAAGTGCAGAGAATCAAAAGTCTGAATTCACTGAAAACACCAGGCGCTAGTTGCAAAACTTTCAAGTCACGACATCAACATCGCAGCACTTTAACAAGACATGATTCGATTCGATATCAAAACACAATTATTGACGTATTAAAATAAACTCCCTGGCACTGCGGCGCTGGCCCTCCTAACTTAAAACACAGCAGCTAAGAGCTTAAGAGAAAAGAGCCTCCACCTCCACCTAAGCACGCTCAACGGCGCGCTAAGAACAAACTCGCGGTGCAAGTTCACAGCCAACGCGCATGCGCCGGTTCCGTTCCAACAGTCCAACAGGGTAACACGGTAACAGTGGTCAACCTCCGACTCACCAACAACCAACGACATCTGACATCTGCCCCACCTAAGCCCAGCCATTAGCTAAAGAACAATAAGAACAAACTGCAATCTGAAAACAAAACACAAAAAACACCGTAAAGAGCCGCGGGCCGCAAACAAGAATACGCGCACTTCACTTCCATCCTCACCTTTTGTTATGACCTGGCCTATCTGCGCACAGAAAGGTTATATAAACTGCTCTTCTAAGAGACTCCAGTCCAAAGTCCGAAGCGTGAAGTGAATGGAAGGTGGAACTCTCAACAGCCTACCACTTTATTAACTGAAACCTTGGAAAGCTTGCCAACAAAATCTGCAGAACTGAACCCTGGACCCTGGCCCTGTTCTCACACTACTTCTTCCGCACTTGGAGCGTGGTTTGCGCGTGGGAGGCCGCTGGTGTAATGTGGCTGAGACCTGGCTGAGTCTGCTTGTTGACACGCTTAAGCAAAGTATGTCTGCCTGCCTGCCTGGTTGTTTTTGAGCGCTGGTCGGGCGTTGACTTCTTTTGTTGAGGAAAAGGGAAAGGGGCCTGTGATTTCTTCATTCTAAGTCTAGTGGTTCTTTGCCAAGTGCAACCAGGAGGGCGCAGAACAACACAAAGAATCACTTCAGAAGAATGAAGAAGGAGTCAATGTCTCATCCTCACAGTTACAATCCAGTGACAAGAACTCAAAATCTCTTTTTGGCAGCAACCTTGTCAACAAGCACGCTGCATGGTGAAGATCAAACCTCGAATCAACCTATGCATTCTTTTACTAAATTACTAATACACGCTTGGGGAAGTAAACTTTGACCGGCGTGGGTTCTGTGTCCTCTTGGCCTCTCTTGGTACTGGGACCTGAGAACGGGAGATTCACGAAGGCACTCATCACTGGCCCGGTGGCCCAACTATGGTGAATGAGCAACAAACCTACACTGAAAGCACGAACCTGCAGTAAGCGCACTCTGAATCTTTGCACATTCAAACCTTTGAGCACCGATGCAGTATTCTGAAAAGATGGTCTGCTGCACTGCAAAGTTCACCAACAAAAAAAGGAAAGAACAACCACTCGCTCGCTCGGCAGATTGCATTTCAAACCGTTCATGATTCGCTAAAACAGTGTGAGAACCATGAGAAGCTCTACGCACATAAAGCTGAACACAAAGCACCTTTGAGCTTGTCTAGAACTTCTAGAAACTCTGACAGCCTCCATGCCTCTTTAGAAACTGCAAAGGACCAAGTCACATCTGAAGTTACCATAAGAAACGGCCTGAGTCCTTGTGCACTGGTAAAGCCAATTCCCCCAGAAGAAAATTCATCACCGTGATTTGATACTCTTTCTTGGACTGCCAGGTCGCATCCGTTTGAATGAACACTTTGACACCACACCCACCAGACATCTGAAGGTTCTGCATGAGCCACTGTCTCATCAAAAGTGTATAGCACACATCCAGCCTTGCTCGGAGTCTGCATAGAGTTGCACTGCTTGGCACCTTCGTGTTGCACTGCCCTGCCTCCAACTTTCCGTCTACAAACAACACCGCCTCTTTGGCCAAATCAGGAGGCAAAAGCGTGGAGCAAGCGTGTTTGAGCGTCTCTCGCAGATCTGCATCACATAACAAAGCACCTGACACCCAGAAGAAATCTATCAGTTTGATGGCCGGATACTTCCGAGCTTTCAGGGTCCAACTGCCTTGGTATCGGAACCTGCAATGGTTCGCAATCGAAGCTTGAAGAGCCTGGGCTCCAGACAAGAGTTCTAGCTCCAATTCACAACGCCTCTCATCGTTGAGCGGACGGCCTTGTGTAAGACAGCCTGCAACATCCCTGAGTAGTTGCAGCATTCTTTTCTTACCAGGTTCAGTGGCAATGTTGAAGATATCTGGATTGGAACTGTCGCACTTTTGAGATGTCCTACTGCCTGGCAAAGAATCGAAACTATCCCTCAAAGTTCTGAGGCAGTTGCCAGCAAGCCCATCTTCTCTCAAAATGCTCGGGACACTCCAACCTGCAGAAATGTTGACGAGGTCGAGTAATTCTGGCACTGCAATTTTTCTCCACTGGCAAGTCAAAACGAGGAAAGCAATTGCTTTCGGGACTCTTACAGTCAAAGTTGGAACTTTACCACCTGCAAGCCTTCTCCATTCAGTCAAGCACTGCTGGCTGACCCCAAGGACTTCCGTCGTGAAGCAGCGCTGTGCCCAAGTGCTGTTTAAATGGAAAAAAACGTGGTTCTTCCTGTGCTCGTCTCTGCTAAAGACAGTCTATGCTCAGACTGTGTGCATCTCACAATGTTCAAATGATACAAACAACCATCCAAAGGCGTAGAGGAAAAGAGGCTCCAAAAGTCAAACTGAGCTTGGGACTGCTCACGCAAGTCCAACAATGAGTGGTGCTGCGCTATGGGTTCCAACGCCACAAGCCCAACAACCTCGTGTCCCTGGATCAAATGATTGCAAGCGAAACCTGGTGCAAAATCTTGCTGAGCTTCATATTGTGCCAAATGTGCTCGAACCACTGGGTGACTCGCAGCTTCGCTGTTCACCCACCGATGCTGCACACGGTGGTGTGCAGCTTTTCTTTTGCCATCACTGAACGTGGCCAACCATGCCACGACAATGGCCATGAGTTTCATGTGACATGGAAATGAAGAAACAAGTCGTTAGCGTTTAGCATGTGACAGTGAGTGAAATTTGCTAGTAGCTAGTACCTGTGATCATCTGTCATCTGACATGGACATGGCATGCTGGTTCTGAATATGTCCAGAGTAAATCGAATCTGAATTGTCTGAATCCACAAGTGAAAAAAGATCGACAGCTGGATGGAGTCAGAGTGGTTCACAGCAACGTGTGCGTTGATGCTTTGACATTCTTTTGTAGAAACGAAAGTGAACATGTCAATTTCGCATGCATCTTCGATACTCATCTCTCATCTTCTGCTTCTCCCCAGTCTGTCTAGTCTATTGTGTGTGTGTTTGCTTCTCATCTATGTCCGTGTACTCTGCACAGTGATGTGAAACGTGAAAACCAAAACTCAAAATGCAACACGAAAACCCGATAAACAAGACTGATCTCTGACGGTGCGCGGGGTGTGGGCTGCTTTGCGCGGGTCTGAGTTTACAGTGCTCACGAAATTGCCATTTGGTTTTGGGGCATTGCTTTTGATCAGGTTGGCCGAGCACAAATCTACAGTACGGTAGCGTGCGCAAATCCCAGATTCAAAAGTAGAAGTTGTAGAAAGCACACTAGAAAGCGCAGCCGAAAAAAGGAACAAGCGCCGCTCAGGACGTTCAGAAACATACGCGGGAGTCTCAAATTTGTCCTGGCGAACTGTGTGGTTTCACATGTTTGTCCCTCTCTGTTTTGTGCATTGCAAAGAGCCCGGCAAAAACCAGAGTCGTCAGGTCAAATCCGCTGCCAGCAGGAAGGAAGGATTGCAAACCGCACATGGACTTCCAGATATTGGAAAGTAGAGCTGCGCATTCATTGCTTGCAACTTTTGTCGGACGCACACGTGCACATGAGCGGACAACACATTGACATTGCCATTGCAAACAGTTCCAAACTTAAAAATTAAATCTGTCAAGGAAGCTACCGCGCAACAACCCGCTAAAGAGCATAAAACAAGAAAACATGCCACACGCCTTGCATACCACGCCCTACTGAACTTACCGATCCCAAGTAATTTTTTTCGTTTGTTTGCACAAGCGCAAGTGTCACGTCAGAAAACTTGGAAGCACAGTTGTCAGGCACAAACTAAAATCTGCACGTTGCAAATCTGCACCCTCTAAGCTCTCTGGCGCAGCACACCCATAGTTAAACTCTTCTTGCAACAAACAACGGTCCACCAGGACAGATTTGGAGAAACAGCATCCAAACCTTTCAAAACATGCAATGAACATTTCCCCAGTCAGCAACCAGCCATGACCGAGAGAAAACATCCACCCTCACCATTTTTCATCCTTATATCCCTTTGCGCCTGAGATCACATCACATTTGATGTTTTGAAAACTCTGAAGGCCCACAGAAGAGAAATAACGAAATTAGCTAAGGGTCGTCAACACTTTCGCCAGGTACGAAGTGAGCTCGCGCGCCTTGGATGTAGGACATCTGTTGCGAACCACTGTCTGGACCTTATTCGCGAGATAACAGGGATCGCAAAGCCCCGACGTACCAGTGGGAAGCTCCAAGCGGCTATGGCACCCACGGCAGGACATGCGCTAAAGCCGAAACACTAAGGAATAAGAATATACAGGTGTGTTACTCTTTAATCCCGGGGGCGGGAGACCATATGCAACGATTACGTGTCAAACAGCTCCCTTTCTACATTGATGCCACTTTGGTCAAAAGAAACAGCAAAAAAACTCTGGCCATGTTGTGACTACCATGCGGTGCACTGTTTGAGAAGTCCTGTTATATTGAACGGGCTTGAATGGTCACCCTGTTCCAAAACCAGCTCGCATCGGTTTGGCCTATGAAGCTGCACTGGACAAGCAAGCAGTGACTGACAGAGTGACGTGAACTCAGCCAGCGGGCGGGTCAGTGACGGAGTTAGCAAGTGAATGCGAGTGACCAAGCAAGCAAGACAAGGGAGTGACCGAGGAAGTGACTTAGGTTATGTCGTGGGGCAGAGGCAAGAGGAGGGAAAATGAGAAGGAGGAGGATCCCAGCCTAAGAGTGCAGGAGAAAGGGGACTTGTGTACTTAATTGAAGTGTCTAGAAAGTCTAGAAAGAAGAACAAGATCTGAAACATGCGCCCTCGAGTAATTTACTATCCCTGATTCAGTGAAGGTCCAGTCCAGCCGCCCAGCCTTTCTTCCAATGCATCTGACAAAAGATGTGCCTTGATTTACCCGACGCAAAATGCATTCAATCCTACTCTCTCTCTCTGTTGGCGAAGCTGCTCTCTGAAAGTGCTACCAATATTGACACATTGAGCTACCGAGTTGTCCTCGATTCCAATGCTTCACATGCCAAGTGGCTGGAGAAACCTCGAGCAGCTGCCCCTGCGTATGTAACTGCATAGCATCCAGCGTATTGCGATGCAATGTCAGATGTCTCTGCAAAAGTTTTCTGGGAGGATGCCTGTTCTCTCCGTGTATGCTTTTGTGCCGCCAACGCAAGAGCTTCTGCTGGCTGGAACATCTGCGACTCCTCAACCAAATCTCTGAACACTACTAATGGTATCTAATGATATCTAATGATAAGTGGTCACAAATTACTGTACCTTCGCGCACCCCTCACAAACAAACGTAGTGGCAACAAAACTCACACTGACGCACCTACATGCCCACGTCCAGTGTCTCCTGATCTCCGTCGAACCCTTTTATGTTCTCTACGCCTTGCAAGGCAACAGCAGTAAACTATACAACCAAACTTGCTCTACTCTGCGGTTGATCTAAAGCATCTAAAGCGCTCTGCACACCAAGCCAGATGCTATAGCTGCTATAATCTGTTGGCAAGCAAGGCACAGTCGTAATTGGTTGGCGACCTGAGGCACAGTGCGATGCAGTGCGTGAGGACTACGGAGGTTTCCCCCCTCAAAGGTGAGCCTCACTGAAAAGTGTGTTTTTGCCTCCAACCTAATAGCAATGGCCTCCAATTAGCAATGGCCTCACTGAGAAGTTTTGATGAACCCAGTTGAACCCTCTTCGACCCTCTTCGGCCCCTCTGATCTCACCTCATAATGCCTCCCACCGCTCCTAACTCCAAGTGCCTGGCTACCTTCCCGACATGAAACAAAGGACGCCAAGTAGCCGTGCCAGTGGCTCCTCAGGTTGTTCCAGCTGCACTTTGGCTTGAGCTAAATCACGAAGATGTCCACCTACCACTGACAAACGGAACCCTAACATCTGATGGCTTGAAATTTTGCAGTCCACAGCAGTCCAGAGCTGCACCTGTACCGTTTGACTGTCTTGTTTATGACACTTCTGTGCATACTTGCAGGGACTATTGTATGATATTGCCTCGTCGTTTTGCTTAAAAACAAAAAATTGTACGCCGGTGCTCCAACAGGACATGTCACACCCATGCAGAAACGGAATTATGAGGGACCAAGGTGTCAACCACAGCAGAGCCATCAACTCAAAAAAAACTGAGAGAATTCATGAGAACTCACGCCTCCAACCTTGAAGAAATGCGCAGAACTGCTAAGAATTGCCAGTAGAAAAAGAAGGAAGAGATGAACAAGAAAGGATGATTCCAGCAGAATAGCAGGTATCTGTTCAATGATGTTTTTGCATACATGTTGTGCAATCCCACGTTGCATGCCTGTTCGAACCAACTTGTGGACAGTAGCGTTATGAGCGGGAACACCCTCAATATCAATATTTTAAATAAGACTGCTCAACAATGTTCAAATCCTGCAAGGAATGGTTCCAAGATGTTCAAAGTAGTTTTCCAGTTGAAGAGTTTGTAGCCCGCCTCTGTAAACAGTACCTTTCCTCAACGTAAAAACCAAATAAATGAGCATTCCTCGACTTGGAGATGCGAAGTTGCAATCATAATCACAGTGCAGTAAGCTGTTTGCGTCTAGACTAAACTGTTCAATGAACACAAATTACTACAACTTGCTGCACTGTTGCTTTACAACACTGCAAGCTATGTCTACGACCTCGTCACTTTCAATGCCAGGTCAAGCTTCGAATGAAAAGAATAGTGAAAGTCCCAAGGAAGCACCCACGGTAGCCAGCCGCTGCGACTACCTGGGCTCCAAAAATTGCAATTCCACCTTGGTTGGCCTTGTTCAATGCATCCCAAGTCCTTGGTGAAAATCTCAAGCTTCTGACACCTTGGTGTGTGTTAACACCCGTCTCTAGGGACATTATTTTGCTTTTGCTTTTGCTAACTTCATTCAGCCCTGCGCATAGCTCCGCAGGGGGCAGAGAGGACTTGCAAAGCTCTGCACAACAAAGCTCTTTGCAAATGTCCTAGGAAGGGGAAACTGATCACTTCCATGTACCTGCTAGCTTTTGTTTTTTCTCTCAACGATTTAAACAATATCGTTGCGGACTCGTCGCCTTGCCGTTCCTCACAGGGCCATTTCAATAGGTGATTTTGCAAGGTTGTCTGCTGCAGTATCGTAAAGGGTTAATGCACACCGCGAAACTCTGAATTTCTGCTCTTGGGAGCTCTTTTCTGAAGTGTGTGTCGCAGCTTCTTCCCACTGCATGTGGTAAGCTGTGTGATCCCCGCAGCGGCGCTGTTACCGAGTCTTTACTCCTACATAGGAAAGAATATCACTGAATGTCCTTACGACGCAGTCACACAGAATACTTCATTTTCCAATTATAATCCGAATGCACCCAGGTTTTTGCAGTCAATTTTAACTCCTTCCAGATGCGTTTCTCTTCTCTGTTTTTTCTCTTCCTAGAGACTTGTTAGGCCGCAACTCAGGTTTTTTGCAATCATTTTTCTCCGCTTCCAGATGCGTTTCTCTTCTCTGTTCTATCTCTCTTCTGGGAGTGGTCCCCGTGTGAGGGTCAACTTGCGCCTTGCGCAGGCCCGCGGGCCCGACACTTCGCGCGGGCTCGCGGGCTGGCTGCGGGCTGTGCGCGGCCTGGGCGCGGGCTCGGCGCGGGCCCACGGGCTCGGCGCGTGCGCGGGCTCGGTGCGGGCCCGCGGGCTCCAAGAATATATCATTTGAGGGGGCGCCTTTCAGACAAATTGAAAACCGCAGGCAAACCAGTGTGGCCCGAGTTATCAAGCGTCTGTGCACACATGTACAAGTGCTTCGTACAAGTATACCCATACATGTGTATCTAGACACATGTGCCTACACAAGCATACATTTAGACACAGTGCGCGCACACTTATGTAATTCTGCTGGTGTTGATACTCTCGTGTTAGTGCACTTGTCTTGCTACTCTCGTGTTCATTCTCTTATGCTCAAACTCTTGTCTCTTTATGTTGATGGTTCTACTCTTTTGTTGGTGCCCTTATCTCAACACTCTCGCGTTGAGACTTTTCACTGTTAAGTATTTCCTTATTTCCTTTTACCTTCATACGCTTATGCGCTAATATTCTCGCTTTCAAAATCTATTACGTTAATTACTCTCGCGGTGATGTTCTCGTGTTGATACACCGGCTTATGTCTAGCTAGCGTCAAGAGACGGTGTGTAAAGAGGCATCTCATGATTGAATCGGCCGTGAAGAAAACCCTTCGCGAATGGTTTCGGGGAAAGCATGGTGACTGCCATGGTTAGCGGTGTTGACGTTCGTGAAATAAGCAAATCAATAAATATATATATATACACACACACTTATGTAACATATGTACTTGTAAAAATATTGAAAGACGTTGATGCCTCTTGCAAAACATTCTAGAAATAAAAAACAAGTACATACACATACGCACGTATACATTACATATATCAACACAGATATATCACACACGTATATATATATACAAAAAAACATACACACACACAGTATGTTTTTACATTAAAATATATGTTATCTAAAAAACACATATATATTATATGGACATTCTACGAAAATGTTATATTTAGACTACTCGCGAGGATCACAGTTGTTTGCTGCACTCTTAGCTTATACCTCTGGCTGCAAAGGGCCTACAAGAGCTGAAGACAAGGCTTGATCAACACGCGTGTCCATGTTCATTTCTGTTCCGACTCTTGTCTTGATACTGCCGCGCCCAAACTCTTCTGTTAATTAATCTCACGGCGATGTTCTCGCGTTAATACACCGGTGTATGTCAAGCGTGAACCGTGTGTAGTGCTTGAATTTGCCTATTTAAGAAAAGCCCTTTACGAACGCTCTCGGGGATAGCGCGGTTACTCCCTAGCTGCGCCCCATGCGGTGTTGACGTGTAAAACATACATCATGCATCGGTAAATTTCAAAAGATTGAAAAACTTGTCAAAAATATATAGACAAAAGTGCAAAGTACGTGTGTACACATTTGTAAATACATATGCACGCAAACACACACATATATATGTATGAGATACAGTAGTATAGAACAAACAGAATTGGTATAAACGCGCGCCGGCCCACAGCGAACCTGCGCAGGCCCGCGGCACACCCTGCGGGCCCGAGGGCAGACTCTCGCACGAGGACACTGACCTCTCTTCCGAAGAGGCTTGTTAGGTGTAACTCAGGCAGTGCCGGAATCGGCTTCTCTGTGTCGAAAGACACACATCCAGATGGAACTTTCAGTGGATCTCGCTGGATCTCAATTAACTTGCCGTTCATTTGGCACCACCGCCCGGAAGACACCCAGTTTTTTGCAGTGAATTTTCCCTCGATGTGTTTCTCTTCTCTGTTTCTTATCTCTTCTTAGAGGCTTGTTAGGTGTAACTCATGCGCCGAACTCGGCTTCTTTGCGTCAAAGGACACAGTTCCAGATGGCACTTGCAGTGGTTCTCACTGGATCTCAATTTATTGCCGTTCAATCGGCGCTACTGCCCGGAAGACACCCAGTTTTTTGCAGTCAATTTTCTCTCGATGTGTTTCTCTTTTCTGTTTCTTGTCTCTTCTTAGAGGCTTGTTAGGTGTAACTCAGGTTGCGCCGAACTCGGCTTCTTTGCGTCGAACGACACAGTTCCAGATGGAACTTTCAGTGGATCTCGCTGCTGGATCTAAATTTATTTGTTCATTCGGCACGACTGCCCAGAAGACGCCCAGTTTTTTGGTAATCAATTTTTTCCTTCCGCATGTATTTCTCTTCTCTGTTCTTCTCTCTTCTTAGAGGCTTGTTAGGTGCAACTCCGGTTGCGCCGACCTCGGCTTTTTTGTCGAACGACACATTTCAGAATGGAACTTTCAGTGGGTCTCAGTGGATCTAAATTTATTTGTTGTTCATTCGGCACTGCTCGGAAGACGCCCAGCTTTTTGCAGACAATTTTCTCTCCTTCCAGATGTGTTTCTCTTCTCTGTTTCTTCTCTCTTCTTAGAGGCTTGTTAGGTGCAACTCAGGTTGCGCCGACCTCGGCTTCTTTGTCGAACGACACAGTTCCAGATGGAACTTTCAGTGGATCTCACAGGGTCTAAATTTATTCGTTGTTCGTTCGGCGCTACTGATCGGAAGACGCCCAGTTTTTTGCCGTCTTTTCTCTCCTTCCAGACTCTGCTTTTTTCCTTTTTTCGAGAGGCTTGTGAGGTGTAACTCAGGTTGTGCCGAATCGGCTTCTTTATGTCAAATTTCACCAGACACAGTTCCAGACAGAACGTTCAGTGGATCTCGCTGGATCTCAATTAATATACCCTTGCGTTATCAACAGGTTGCCTAGGCACCCTTTAAAGGGAAAAAAAGTACTCTGGGCCTACCTCTGCAAAGATCTGTTGACAACATGAGCCTGGGGGGGTGCGACAGAACTGCCAAATAAAGTTCCCTAGTTTAGAGCCTGGCCCTTCGGATTTACTTAGTTACGGTGGACACCAGAAACCAGCAGCAGAAATTTCAAGAACCACAGCCCACCTACCCCCGCCACAACCTAAAGGCACCAGGGATCCAGCCTGAGGTTGATTGTCTTTGGCTGTGGTCTGGAAATCAGCAACCCTGTAGTATAGTTTAATTAAGATACCAGGGGCCAACCTCATAAACAACATGCGCCACCTCTGGCGCAGAAACAATTGTCAAACCAATCTCTTTAGCCTGGAAGTTAAGATTGTTACCTGGCCCTCAAACTCAATAAAACTCATAGGTTCTTATGGGGAAAGTTGCCCCTAGCTCCTGAATCCAATTAGAAAGGTAACATAACTAATTTGTCGTTCATTCGGCACCACCGCCCGGAAGACACCCAGGTTTTTGCGGTCAATTTGCTCTCGTTCCACGCGCGTTTCTCTTCTCTGCTTCTTCTTCTCTTCTTAGAGGATTGTTGGCTTGTAGCTGCAGCTCAGGTCTCTTCTATCTCTTTCTTTTCGCTATTCTTTTGTCTTCTCTCTCTCTCTCTTTTTGCGAAGGCTTGTTAGGTGGCTATTCAGGGTTTTTCCTCGACGTTACCCCATACTCTAGCTGCGCCGAAGTTTGCTCTGTGTGCGTGTATCCCCGCTATCACAAGCGGTAAAGTGATTGTACTTGACAACGCAAGCCAACTCAATGGAGTACCCATGGGATCCGGGATCAACTTTTTCTGATCCAGGGTTTTGGGTATTGATATTGGCCGTGAATATTGATATTTTAGCTCTTGTTATAGCTATGTTAGAATTCTTCAAAATATCAATATTTTAGACAAAAATATTGATACTCAAAAGTTGTTTTCCAAAAAGAAATATTGATATTCAAGTTTGCGTTTTTACACAAAGAATGAATCCTGCAGAAGGATGACAACTTGTTTTTCCATAAGCAAGCAGCCTGTGTAGCATTTATGGCAACCATGGATGAGTGAACACCACTGCAGAAGTGCACCCTGCAGAAGGGCTTTGCTCAAGAAACACCACCCAAGTAGAAAGTTGGTTGCCGTGTTGCCTTTCACAGTTCCAGCTGGCAGTAGTGAAGTGTTAAATTGGTACCATGGTCTGCTGTGTTGACCAATGCCTTCTTGATGTGGCCACGAGTGCCAACAAGTCATGGGCTGATGTGGGTGATTATGAGAGGTTGTCAAAGTCCCAGGCAGCCAATGGATCTTGCTTGGCTAAGCATTATGCAACTTGATTGTGCGTTAATCAGCATTTTGGCTGTTTGCGCCCAAGTTCCTAGCCTATAGCAGGGAAATACTGGTGGCAACAAAACTTTGGACAAGTGAGGACCTGTTGAAAGCACTGCTGAGCATCCAACCCAATGGATAATGTTTGCTGACT